CCTCCACTCCCCACCACCTGGGTTCAAGCAGAAAAAAGATCACATTTCAAGTGCTGCAAGGTGCTACTAACTGGAAAAACCACACACACACACAAATCACCTTCATGCATTCGGATCTTTCTAAAATCTGTGAAAGGCTTTATGGGTGCTTTTGTGTTCCTTTGGAGAAGAACACCTAGAAAGAGGCAGGAACCATAATCTTTGGAATATTTCCACTTAGCCCCTCGCTTAGATGCAAGGAAAGATAGATATAAGCATCATTCACTGGACATAATAGGATCTGAAACTTCAGAACCTGAAAAGTTGGAAATGAGTTACAGCTGCAATCTGTTACACCAAGTCTTTATGGCGAATCAGACCTCATCTGATGCAGCGCCATCCAGGAGAACTTTGGGCGAAGGTGGAAACGTCTGTATCTGCACCGTCCAACGTGGCCGTCACTGACCACAGGTAGCTACTGAACACTTGAAATATGGGTAACGTGCAACGGAGAAACTGACATTTTATTTACTCTTAATTGATTTAAATGTAAGTGGCCACACGTGGCTAGTATTGGACAGTGCAGGTCTAAATCTGAGATTTCGGGAAAGATCTCCTTATCACATCCCACTGACCAATGTCCGACCTGCCCGTCAATGGTGCCAGCTCCTCCCACACCCCCCTGGGAAGTGCCATCTTTTCCCTTTCTGAGCCCCACGCTGCATGAAACGGAGGTCTAAGGTCACATTCTCCTTTGCCATAAGTCAGCCTCGGACAGAACCACATGCCGGCCAGTGTCCCCCTGGGGGGCTTCCTCTTTAGGGCAGGGCCAGCCTTCTCCTCGCTGAGCCTCCAGAAAGTCCCTCCACAGATGCCCACACGTCCACTGTGCCAGGCAAGGGTGAGAAGGTCTGGGAAGTGAACTGGAAAGTGGATGTGGGATCAGCAGTGAAATGCAAAGGTCAGCTCAGTCTCCATCCACTCCGCCTCCAAAAAAAAGGGGGGGGGCCTGAGAAAGCTCAGCTCTTCCCTCCCCACCCCTGTGCTTTTTTGGTCCATCACTGCCCTGCATAAACCAGGGAGCGGCTCTCACTTACCAGCAGCAAAGTAATGCTGCACGCTCTTATTCGTATCACGAGAAAGGCTGGCGAAGAGCAGCCTTCCCTCCGTTCCTCAGAAGTGTACAGTCAAGCATGACGCTGGGCACCGGGCTCCTATTTTCTGCCTCTGCCCTGAACACGTGCACACGTGAGCTATGGCCGCCCCTGCCTCTCCCCAACTGATATTTAAACTTGACCTTTTACATGTGGTCGGGCTGAGGTTATTTTTCTTTTAATGACTGATTAGAACCCAGCTAGTGGTTAATCAAAGAAAAGACGTTACATATATTTTTAAATGATTTTTAAATGTACACTACTCGGGGCACCTCCAGCGGAAGATCAGTGCGGGCTCTATGCAGCAGCCCGGCTGCGTTTGAAGCCCGTGGACAGCCTCGCAAGCCACCAAAGTCTGCTTGTCTCCTCTCTTGCCATCTCCCCTGGTGAGAGGAGCCATCACGAAGACATTCTTTTTAGGACAAGAGAGAAAAAGAGGAGGAATAAAGCCTAAAAGCTCTGCCCCCTCCTGGGGACCGCGACCAAGCAGCATCCATGAAATGTACGCGGTGTTCAGTGGAAGCGGAAACTGCCAGAGGGGAGGCGAGGAGCAAGCACATATTTGTTTCTGATGCCAACCACCGGAAGCAGCAAACCTTCTGCACTTTTTAAATGTAACCTCGGCTTATCAACATCGTTCTAAGGAGGAATTCGACTGTCACTTGTTGGATGCTTGCTTGAAAATGAGAAGTCCTCGGACACACAGAGGAGAAAGTCCCTATTCCCACTCCAAGCTCTTAAAACAAAACGCAAATTCAAGACAGAAGCAGAGAAGCCATGAGCTGAGGGGGACTGACTGGAGCACCAAACCTTGGAGAAACAAACCCACGGCTTAGAATCCTACCCATCCATAGCGCTGGCAGGAACTAATTCAGGCCTGAAAAGTAGAACCTGCCCTAATTCACAGGGATTAGGAGGAGAGCCCCAGTAAGGGAGAACTTAGCAGGCGCTGACTTTTGAGCCACACTGGATAGATGGTCTTGGAAAGGAATGGCTGTCCCCACCCCACATGCACCTGACTTCAACATGGAAATTTACATCCAGGCACAAGAGCCTGCCTATCAGCACATCATCAGAGGCACATTGTGGGAAAAGATACCTTCTAGACTCAACGGCAGCAGCAGGGAACCTGGAAACCCCATGCAGGTGGCCTGTGGCTGGCTGGCTACTTGGGGAGCACAGGGACCGGGCACGAGCTCCCAGCTTCCCAGTGCTGTACTCAACTTCAGAGTGGAAGGGGCTGTTTGGAAGGATACTGAGATGGCCTCGGTTCTATACTTTGTCTGCAAACGGTGGCAAATCCCACCAGCCCAGACCAACGGTGCCGACCCTTTCCTTAAAGGCCCCTAGAGAGCACGCATCCCAGATCAGCATGTTTGAAATCACCACAGAGAAGGTTCTGGCAAAGGAAGTATGAGAAGAACTTTGCAAGCCGGAGTGGGTTTCACCGAAAACAATTTCCCCCTGCAGAGCCCGGGAATATCTAATAACCTACGGCCTTGCCTCGAATGGCCTGCAGAAACGTCAGTGGAGCTGCAGAGAGAACCAAAAGAGAGGGCTCTTCTCATTTGTATATATCCGTGTCTACTGAGGTCCCAAAACTTAAACTGCAAGTCCTTTGGACATGCCCTGTGGTACCTGCACCCACTCAGGTGTTAGCACAAAGCATCTGTGGCTCTTGTCTGATCTTGACCAGCCGCTGTGGCCCGAAGGCAGACGCAGGAGGTTGCAGAGACGCACCTCAGCTGACAAGCGGAGCCACTGGAAATTCAGGGGCCCTTCTTGGCTGGCCGGGCTTAGGTCCTTAAAAGGGAGAGCTCTCTTCTCTTTAAGAAATAAAATGCAGATCATCAATGTATGTCCAGAGCATAGAGATTCATTCTTCTATTTCTTTGGCATCTGCCATATGCCCACAATGCATGAATGCCCCCAGGGACTCAGACACTTGGTGTAAAAGCAAAACATTTCTCTACCTCTCCATGTAAGCCTACGTCAGAATTACTGGTTTTCAAGGTAATTAAAAAGATCTCACTTCGGCTCAGTATGAACCCATCCATTTTCTGTGTCTTCATTCCACCTACATTATATTTGATTTACTCCAAGATCTGCCTCCTCAAGATTTTAAATCTCCAGACTAGAAAACCCCAATTCCCACAGGCTTATAAAAAAAAAAAGTCTTAGAGTGCTGATGCCATCCCTTGATGTGCATCCCTGTGGTTTACTCTGGGGACCAATAAGACAGCTTATCCCTCTGCATCCACGATTAACCAGCCAGGGAGACTTCTTCCAACCACTTGGTAATAAAGGATCAACAGGTCAATATTCCAAAACAGAAAAGGAGATCAAAGCAGCAAGGTCTCAAATTTAAATGCATAGCCGGAAAAACAAATTAACTGTTATGAAATGTAACTCATCAGCAGCAATTAGCACGAAAACACCATGCACATAAAGACATTCCGACCGGTGAGGTTTGGCCCCTGGCGCTGACCTAAACCATGCCAGGATAAAGGTACTTGCTGACACTCTGGTGCCAAGAACAACTTATCCCAGTGCCGGGGAGGGGATGCTGCCTAATTCGGGCCATCACCGCTGGTCCCAAGTGGTTAGCCGGTCAGGGGATGGAGACCAGGCCTTGCCTGCCCAGGGCACCGGTGGCAGGGGCAGGAGTGGCCCAACCGCTCCTCATGAAACTGATTCGTACATTTTGTTGCTGCAAGAAGCTCTCCCCAAAAGTGGTCATGATTCTCTGTACGTAACGAGTCGTGGTTTCCGGCACCAAGTACTACCCTCGGATCCCACGCTCGACCCATGAAGCCAGGAAGACCTGGGTTGTTTTTCATGGCAACAAAGGCTCCGTCAACCGGGATCTCCCTGACGTTAAAACTTAGCTTTCTTTGATGTACAGTTTCAGAATTCATTCATTTTCATCCATCACACCAGTCCTTAGTGTGCCCCAGGGCCATTTAATTCACAAGTATACTAACTGCCAAAAACACATGCAAAATAAGGAAGGAGAGGAACACGCCTCTCTCCCTGAGACCTGAGGGAACACACGGAGGGAACCGGCGGAACCCTATCTGGGTGGCTCTCGCTCGGCTCAGAGCCAGCCTCTGGTTATCTGAGTAAAGTGCGCCCCCGTCCCGCGTTCCTCTTATGGAGATGACTGTTCCTATTTAAAACTCCAGCTACAGTTTCCTGTAAGTTTCAATAAATATTTAATGGAATCCAAAAGTTTTGGATAATTGTGGTGATTTTTCAAATTGAGACAGAGACAGAGAAAGAGAGAATGGGAACAGAAAGGAAGGTTGACCAGAAGCCAAAAAAGCAGAGGAAACACTTAAATTTTAATCCTGGCCTGCGGAACTGGAGTGGGGTCACGTCTCTGTTCAGTGCATACGACTTTCCCTATGCACACAGGGTTCAAGGGATTCTTGAGAAAAAGTATTGACTGTTAGACTCTCAAGCTGATACAAAAGAAAAAAAAAATCAACCGAATCCACGGGACCTGGACTTATTCTCAGTGTCTCCCCCCGTTCCAGTCACAGCACAGCACAGACAAACACGGAGTCAGCCTCACCTAGAGCCGGCGTCACGGCGGCCATGGGCGCGGAGGGGTCCAGCGGGAACCCGCTCATCATGAAGGGGGCGTCCGAGGCGGCGCTGTCCATCTTCAGGTTGGGCAGGCTCATGTTCTGGGCCAGGTAGTACTGGTACAGCTCGGCCTCGGCGGGCGAGGGCAGGCTGCCCAGGCCCAGGTGGCGGCTGTGCTGGACCTGCGTCATGTTCTGCTGCAGCAGCATCATGTTGTGCATGTGCTTCTCGCTGGTCATGTGGATGCGCAGGTTCCTGGCCACGTTGGTCTCGTAGTCACACACCTCGCACCGCCAGGTGGGTTTGGTTTTTGGTTTGGTGGGCGAGGGGGCCCCGCAGGAGCTGCCGATGTTGG